ATTAAAGAGATCATCGTAAAACTAATTGTCACTGTCTTGTGTCTTCGTGAACTACCACTCATCCACGTGATTAAAGTCATGCCGATGTTCACAGTCTTAACTGCTTTCGTTTCGTTGGCTACAAACCATCATCGGAATTCCATTCTGGCTCCTAAGTTACGGAGGCCTCGCATCTATTGACGCTCTTTTCTGATCTTTCAAGCGCACTAGCGATCTTAAGCGGACTATAATAAACGGTTCATTATCTCATTCTGAACAACTATTATAGTATTAGCCTACTTTATTCCTTTGTCTCATTTTCCTAAGTGGTTTTTTCTTCAATCTACAGTATTTTTGAAAACGAGAGCCCGTGGAACTCTGCCTTCATTTGCGTCGTAAGAGTTGATTTATTGCTTATTTCCTAGTTCACAATTATTTTCTAAAGATTGCTAAGTATTTTCATAAAAGGACAAATCGCTGGTAGATGTGAAACACTCTGTTTATATTAGTACTCACTTTCGCAGTCGGTGTGATGACATTTCCACAATTTTATTTCAGTAGTAAATTTGTTTTTTCCAAAGTCTTCGAGGCGCTTAAAATACAGAATTTTAAAAAAGTTTAAATTTCAGATTAAGGCCAAATTAACATTGAAGCTACAGTTTCTCGAACTGCAGATGTCAACGATATCATTGGTAAACATTCAAATAAAGTGACTAAGGCATCTGAAAAAGAAATTAAGGAATAAATATACATGTAGGTTTCCGAAGAACTTACCGAAGAGGGAGCCCTCTCCCCCCTACCCCCCCCCCAACTTCTGCGAGCGATACGTTTCAACAGGACGCATAAAAATCGATTGTTTGTGTTTTCGTACTTGGAAATTTGAGAAGAAATTTTGGCTCTTTGTCCTCAGGGATTTACCGTTTTCTATATCGAAGTACTTCAGTATGTTGCTGTTTAATGTTTGAGAAAATAAAGCGGTAATTATGCTGTTTTTTATCTAGTATTTTCTGATAACAATCCTGATGTAACTTCATGCTTTGTCGACGTTTAACCTAACAGGTCTAGAGTTCCGCATTTACAAAATTGAAAACTTTTGACCGTTTGTCAGTTTTGTTTGCTCCCAGCAAACTAATCGTTACGGAGAGCTATGACGGAACTACTCCTCGTACAATGCGCCAAGCCGGCCGCGACATGTTAATTCAGACAGCTAATAAGCGTGCGCCGCACGCATGATGCTTTTGTTCACGCTTGCGTCAGATCGAATATTCGACCTTTTCCCACAAGGTATTTTCGCGCACTCACTGACCAATCAATGATCGCCATACTGCAGACAGGTAGATCCTTCGACGGCCGTCACGATTTGGTACCTGATAGGTCGAAATGTTGCACAACTCCCAAAGGAGCACATACAGTACGCTTCATAACAATCAAGTAGTACTTTTTTATCTTGGCCTACGGTTGTTCATTATTATTTTAATTTGTGCGTATATGCGTTACCACCAGTTCACCAGTAACTATCAATCTTTCACAAATTTTGGCATTTTGCATTGTAAATAAAATGAATTCAGATAGGTTACCTCATACTGCTAGGAAAATGTTTGTTTTCCTAACCGACCCTCTCGGGTTATAACATAAATAAACATTAAAAATTTGTGGAAAGTTCGCACGATTAAATGTCGCCGTTGTGATAATTTTTGTTTGAGTGAGTGAAGTGGGGCTAAAATTTAAGCTACAAAAAACGAAACATAGCACGATATGGGCAGAAAAAGACTACCGACAAAGACAAAGGAGATAGCAATGACCATTTCTGCTTAGAAGCTGTCATCATCTAGCTATACCAAACCTCAGGTGTGGTGATCCCCGATGTTCAAAGCCGCGATCTGTTGCCTAGATGTCCAACGCTCTAACTTCTGCGCCACGGGCGCGTTGTCTTGCTGGTTTAGGTCGGGGAAGAAATAATAAAAACATGCATGTTATGTAGGTTTAATCTGCTTTTCTCCGTCAATCGATAAATCACATTATACGGTTGATTCAACTTGAAATGAACAACACTTTCTTCGATTACAACTTCTTGTTTAATGCAATGAGTAGTGGATGGGAGATCAAATCGTTTCCAGTGACCTGCAGTTGTCTGTAAGCCTACTAAATTATTATACTGAAGTAGGCATTGGTAAGCGTTTAAGTTTCCTCTGCAGGGTATCCAAGCTTACTGTTGTCTTGGAGCTTTGCACAGTTCAAAATTGAAAAAATACATAACTGAAAGGAGTATTAATTAGGTTAGGTGATTTAATCTCGCCTGTGAATTATTTAGTTGGATCAGGAAGAAGGTATGTCGAGGATCGGAGCCATCTTTTTATTGTCCTGAGCTTTCAAACTCTTACAGGAGTCCATCTTCAGCGATGAGAAACAGCGAAAAAAAAGGGGGGGGCACTTGTTTGGGGGTATACGCAAATAAACTGTTGGTGAAGTCAGGGGTCGTCAGAAACCAGAAACAGCAACGAAGACGGAGGAAATTATAGCGGGGTGCCAATTAACTGTCAGTGACGGAAGTCTGGAAGCGAATGCACGTGGCTGCGCAGGGCTCTGTACGCCGGCGCCAAGTCGACACATCGGTTAATTGAGTTCTCATCCGCGGACAAGGCTTCAAACAATTCTCGGTTCGTCTTGATTCAGGCTTAGACAAGTCTCTTAATGACCGAGAAGTTGAATTCATGGTCTATTTCATAGGTAAGAGCTGCAACTGGCGATAATCCGTCGCCTTGTTGGACGGCCAGGTTATGTTTTCGTATTCGTGATCCGAGCATGCGTTCAGTAAGGCCTGTGTAGTAACACGGATAGCTTAAGCATGGGATGCAATACACTACTCCAGATTGTTTATTGGGCTTAAGCCGGTCTCTGATTTTCTATGTTTCCCTTGGCAGTTGTCCTGGTTGGAATTCGAAACAAAGGTGACGCTCACGCCAATGGGTTGTTGAATCCTAGCATAAATCCAAATCTTCATAGGCTATGGACTTTTTTATTTACTTGCTTAGTAATGGTTTCATGGTGTACCGCGACCCTGCTAGGGAGGACGAATGGAACGTATTCCGTTGCAAGTGTGGGGTAGAATACAACCTTCTTTGACGATTCGTTATAACATTCTGGGCACGCCAATATCTTGGACTTGACTGTACGATGCAGGTTAACCTTTCGAGTGAATCGGTCAAATGAGTGAGCTTGGAAGGAGGATGTACCAGGATGTAGGTAAAATTCGCGAAGAATGATCAAATATGTCGTCCAAAATTAAGCATTAAATTCAGTGTCGTGGTTTTTTCATCACGTGATCATGATGATAAATGAGCTCAGTATTACAAGGGATATACTTAAGGATGCAGCAAAGCGTTGATATGACGGATATGTCACAAAGAATTATCACTGGGCTAATATAAACAACGAGGGGATGGAAAAACAAACTTTATTGATTCTTCCAAGAATGTTCCCATTCTGAACTGCACAAATTTGTGTTTAAGCTAAACGTGAATCCGCTTCCGTTCAGTTTATTGGGGAAATGAGGAATGAACCTTTGAGTACCCTATTGGTAATGTTAACTTGAGTGGGATATATAGAGTAACCGTGTAGGTTGCAATCTTTTAATAAGGGCATAAAATATGAAAATCGGGGCAAGAGATTCCAGGATGAAGTTAAATTCCTCATGCCTCCGACCCATTTTGGAGTATATATCGGTCAAGGTTCTTTTTATAGCTTTCCAATTATAGCAATATAACAACATTTGCGGGAAGGGTATTTCATGGCTTGAACACTCTGACAAAGGAAGAGAACTTGCGCACATCCAGCCTTGCAATCATCCAATCCCCTCACAATGCATAATGCTCGTATCAGGTCCCCCTAAATTTGCTTGGATAATTACTAAACTTAATTATTTATCATTTGACAGTGACTGCATTCCATATACATATGTGTATGTAAGCTATTTCTACTAGCTTGCGCGGGTAAGAAAATAAAATAAGCGCCGTCAACTGGACATTCATAAGGACCCAGCGATGCTAGAAAGCGAAGAAAGGGCTCTAAATACATTTGAGCAAATATGTTCGTCCTACAAATAAGTAAGTCGACGGCTAGACCCGCTAAGAAAGTGGAAAGTATTCTGATGAACTGCTTAAAGTGAGAGATCAGGTTGGCAGCCTTTGTTTTTTGCTCTCTAGAAAATAGCATACATTATCCGCACACTTCGAATTTGGGTTCAAATTTTTGACTTTCCAAGACTTAATTGTTCTTTGCATTTCGGTCTACGGGATGTTATTTCAGCCTATCTGTAGTTCAACTTGAATGCGACTTAAAAATATCTGGCAAAAGTAGCTTATGTAGGCCCACTCATGTACCCCTAGTCCCCGCATTTTGTCCTGCAGAAAGGGTGGTTATAGAGTTTTGGGGATGGGGAAATAGGATAATCAGAGAAGGAAATTTGTTGAAGTAAGCGTAAAGGGAAAAAATATAGTCGAAGTTGCTTCCCGCGGCCGCTGGGAGTAAGTTGTTCCGCATTTAAATTGGACGTGTGCGCGGCGCTTCGGGCCGCGTACTATAATAATCTAATTCCAGAACGGTAAGTTGGACCTCAGG